TTTGTGTCAAAAAAGAGTCCTTTTGCGCCACATCTCATATTCTCTAATGATACGTCTGAGCTACTAGTTTTTAAAAACCTAGTATCATTTGCGCCAAAAAATTAGTATACGATTGCGCAAATTCTTAGATAAAATCTTATTTTAATTTTACACTGTACAACATTTTTTTGGAAAACATCAAAAATATAGACTGAAAGCAAGTGACGACACCGCTTGAATGTTCCATCAACAAATACACAATTATCAGAAGTCCATTACTCTAGAAGTAGTGGACTTCTGACATTATGAATCACAACAGAAAAGTTTGTTGCTATTGATACTTTATAACAATAAAATTTTTCGCAAAAGATATATTTTAACAAGACCCAATACCGGGTCTGCATGGACTTGCGTCGCTGCATGAAATTGATTGAGGTAACTATCGTCGAACAGGAAGTGGCTAGAGGACAGATGTTACAAGAGTGACAACGCTGAAATGTCTCGCCTGCTTTACTGACCATTGATTTTATGTTGAAAGTCTTAAAGATAGAGGTTTTACTACATGTATCACATAAACGGCTTAACATTTTCAAAGAAACATGAAAATGAGGTCAAGGTCAGATGATACTTTCCAGGCAAACATGCACACCTTACAATTATTCCATACACCAAATATAGCTGACCTATTGCTATTAGTATTTGAAAAAATAGACGAAAACACAAAAACTTAACATTGCCCAATGAACCATGAACCATGAACCATGAAAATGAGGTCAAGGTCAGATGATACCAGCAAGACAGACATGTACATCTTACAATTATTCCATACACCAAATATAGTTGACCTATTGCTTATGTTAATTGGAAAACAGACCAAAACTCAAAATCTTAACATTGACCAATGAACAATGATATGAGGTCAATATCAGATGATAACTGCCAGACAGACATGTGCACCATAGCAGTATTCCATACACCCAACATAGCTGACCTACTGCTTATAGATCTGAGAAACTGACCTACTCATTAACTTTAACCTTGATCACTCAGATCCATGAAATGAGGTTGAGGTCAGATTAACCCTATCTGACGGACATATAGACGTTGCAAGGAACCCATATACCAAATATACTTATCCTATTACGCATAATAAGTGAGAAATTCACATGACAAAAATAATATCATTTTTGTCTTTCAAGCAGTCGGTGGACCATGAAAATGAAGCCAAGGACAAGAGACATATGACAGACAGAAAGTTCGTAACTAAGGTATCTGCATACAAGGTTTTCTACCCTCTGAAATAAAAAGCTTCATACAATAAGTTTGACCTGAAGTTATCAAATCATCTTCCGGTTTGCTGGTGAAACAAAGAAAACACTTGTTTTATTCATGCAAAATACGCAAATAAAACCGGATAAATCGATTATCTGGTTGTCTGCATATTCATATTGTAAAATGTCAGCTACTCGACACAATATGAAGCCTTTTTGAACTCGTTCGCTGCGCTCACTCGACAAAAACTTCATATTGTGACTCGCAGCAGATATTTTACAATATCAATATGCAGACAACCAGATAATCGGTACTTACCAAGCAACAGACCAAATATTAAATAATTCCCTTTCATAGAAGCCAAGAAAATTTTGACGAATATTTTCCTTGAACAATAAGTGTTGTTAAATTTCAAACTATCGGCAAACAGGAAGTGGCTACAGGGCATGTGTAATGATTGTGTACTCGCTACAACTCAACGTTATCAAGCTGCAGACCAATTATTAAATCATTCACTCTCATAAAAGCCAAGAAACTTTGACGAAGTTTTCTTTCTTTCGGAAGGACGGAGTCAAGCGGTTGCTAGACATGCTTCCGTCTTCATTGTCGTAGGTGAAAATGACTATTTGCGCAAAAGTACTGCTGCTAGGATTATAATATTCCGTACCGGCGCGATAATCAAGACACTGGATAAACAGAACAAAACAGCTGTATAAGGTACCAAAGCAATGTGTCAAAGATTGAACCAAATTGACTAAATATCCAACGAAAGTATATAACGAAATGTCACACAGCTGTAAATGTCAGATTAGAATAATCATTCAAGATAAATGCTAATGACAGTCGTCATACAAAAGATTATGATTTCTAAACAAGATGCTCCTTAGACCCTGATTGGCTCACCTGGTAAAAATATTAAATTTTGATATTTATTTTCATTTTTTTTTGCAATGGTTTTGTTTGTTACTTTGTAGATTCTATCTAGCTGATAATGTTGCTGTTTTCTCTTTGTCTATTATTGTTTTCAAGAAATATTCAAAAATCCATAAAATGTGTAAAAATTGTCATTTGAAGGTAATTACTTTACAAGGAGTAAATGAACGTTTTGATAATGATGATTTATTGTAGATCGTATCTTGCTGCTTATAATTTCTTTCTATGTATTATTCTTTTCAAGATAATTGCCAACAAGAGACTACCAACAGCCTGAATCGCTCACCTGGTAAAGGCATGCCATTTTGATATTTTAATTTTCACCTTTATTCCTTAAGGAGTTATCCTATGGTTTTTGGTCACATTGGCATATTTGTAGATCCTATATATTCGTGAGTGTTATTTATGCTTACAGTAAGGAGTTGGGGTTCATATATTCATAAATTACGGTTTTTGACGAATTTCCCTGTTTTTTGCCACTTATCTCAAGAACTATCAAATAAAGATAAAAACTGTAAACAGCAAAAATGACCAGCAATATACGATATACAAAAAATGCCAATAGGACCGAAATCATTGAATGAGTACTTTTAGGAATTGTTGCCCTTAAAACCATTTTTTGACTAATCTTTTTATTTGGGAAAACTAAATGAAAAGATAGAAACTGTAAACAGCAAAAATGATCAGGTATAGAAGTCCTACAAAAATGCCAATATGACCAACTCTTAAGTAGTGATTGGCAGTAAATGTAGATTTGTGACTAATTTTAGTGTCCTATCAATCTTCACTGGTTATACATGTCCTTTAGTCCAGTATTGAAATGTATGGTGTTAGGACTTCAGCCGTTCTTATTCAGGAATTTAAAGTCAAATGAAATGACTTACATTTATTTATAATGTTGATTAAGGTGGTACCTAACACTACAGGGAGATAACTCGGTAAAAATCAGCTAAACGTTTTAATCACGTTGTATTGTTAAGGAAATATTAAGCTTCTCAATGATCAAAATTAGTGTTTGTCAAACTGCTATATAACCAATGAAATTTTTCTGATAAAGTGGTTGGTTCCAGTTTTTGAAATTTTTATATTTTTGTCAAAGGGTCAAAGTAAACATTTTGTCAAAATTTTAAGAAAATTAAACTAGTCAAATTAATATTAGTCAAGGTGTTGGGTACCACCTTAATAAGGAAATATTGAGTCAATGTATGCATATGTACTAAAATAAGTCCTCTCTGCACATACTTTTACTTTTATTACAAATCAATAAAATGTAATCGACAAAAAATATTTCATTCAGTGATTGTTCATCGAAAACTTTAGCTGCTAATTAACTTTCGGGTTTTGTTGCCTAATTCAACCGATTGTGAACCTGGTAAACAATCAACACAGAATCATGGAGCACATGAAAAATAAGTGAGTTGATAGATCCATGTCAATTTTTGTTTATATTCATTTTGTATGTTTTTTTATTTGTTTATCAAACTTTGTTTAAACATTTAAATGTGTGGTGTATTTATTATTTTCTTTCAGAATCAATTAACACCATCTACCATCTCTTGTTTACCTTTTCTTTCATCATGTTTTTTTCCCCCTCTTACTTGCAATGTGCAGTTGCCAAAGTTCTAATTAGAGGTCTCATGTCTAAGGTTGCTGCATACAGAGAAAATCTCAGAGAATTAGAGTATGGAATGACAATAATTCAATAATAGTACATTTCTGAAGATTTTGATAAGATTAAGAATTTTCTGTTACAATAAATGTACCCGGTACACTTGTTGTATAGTCAAACTTAGCCATTCAAGTATATACATTTGGTAAAACATATTCACATTTTTTAATGTGAAAAAAAGTATTATATGACTTTTAAGTAATAATTTAAATTAATATCATTTTATTTTTTTCAATTTTTGTCAGGTTGAAAACAGGCTTATAGTATGGTGATGTCGGGTGGGCGGATAGGCAGGCAGGCAGGATGGAAAAAGTGGATACCTAAGTTGTGTAATCAACTCCACCTAAAATTAAAGACCCATATTTATGAAACTTCACAGGAAGATTGCATATATGTTAAAGTTATGCACCTGCTTTTATGGAATGGTTTCAGGAAATTTTCTCATTTCTCTAGACTTGGGAACTTAACTTTTTTCAAAAAAAAATATGAAAGAGGGTACAAGTTTTGTGTATTCAAACTTCCTACAGTTTCAACCGAGATCCATGAAACTTAACAGGAAGATTACACATATGTTGAAGTTGTTCACCTGATATTATGGAATTGTTTGAGGATTTTTTTCCCAATTTTAAAGATAATATTGCAACAAAGCCATTTGAGACTTTGGACTCATTTTTAGGTGATAATATTCGACAATACCACAAGCATAGCAAATGTGGAACCGTCATGAATATTTAAATCTATTTAAAATATTATTAAAATCAATGTAAGTGGATTTGATAAATTCTTGTAGTCTGTTTACTTGCTGAAACCAGTAGCAGATTCAAGAGAAACTGTTTTTATTTATACCTCCCATTTGATCAGAAAAATACCATTTTTTTTGCATAAAATCATCAAAAAAATTTCACCTTGCTAGCCTTAATGCTATTTTCAACATAACCGACAATTATATCCACTTTCCTCAAACCCGGGATCTGCCCCACAAACAGCATCAGTGACTATTAAATGTCATTGGCAAAATGGAGAAACAGTCAAAGTACTAGTTCATCAATTAGTGTTTGCTGGTTTATATAAATACCAAAACTCTGACCTTAAAATATTCACCTGAGAAAGGACAATAGTGACAGGGCTTATGAAAACAACACACCAACAAATATTATTTCTTCATTTCAATATAAAATATCACAATACACATTTCAATAAAAGTTTGTTCTGTTTTCTTCACAAATCATGCCATCATCCTTATTGAACCATCCACTCTTATGACCTCACCATTAAGATATGGGTTTTCTACGATTGTTTGCACCATGTGGGCATATTCATCTGGATCACCCAAACGTTTTGGAAAAGGAATTGTTGATGCTAAATAAGTCTGAACCTTTTCTGGTAAACTGGCAAGTAAAGGTGTGTTAAATAAACCTGAAAAAGAGAAATATCATTTGTTACTAATATTTCGCCACAATACAGCCTTTTTGTGCTGATGCAGTGTAAAGCAATCACAAATCAATCAATGTTACTATTCTTGACAATCACCAGTTGTTGATCACATCAATGATAAAGCTGACCCACTCTAACAATTTTCCTTTTCTTAGCTCTGAATTTTTTGGTGTTCATCCAATGCCTCATTTTACCGATTTCACGAAACACTGTGAATAATGAACCTTTTTCACGGCTGCACGTGAAATAAAAATGGCAAATCACGTTGCACGAAAATAACCCTTTACCACCCTCTTTGATTTCCAGCAAATGAAGACTGTGTAAAACATTTTGAGAATTGGTCAACTTGAAATAAAGTGCCAAAGAAGAATCAGTGTACATAACCTGACACAAGTACCATATCTATTCTGAAAGTGTTTGTTGTTATACAAATAAAAATATAATACTGATTTTGATGTCTTAGTGTCTATATGACTCATGTTATCTTAATCTGGTTCACTTGACACTTAAAGTATGAAATGCAAAGTATATAAAATGGTTGTGAGTATTAAAACAAGAAGGTTCTAACTCCCCAGGGCAAAGTGTTGACCTTAGAAGGATTTTACTGTTCTTTTTAAGTCCCTTTTTATCATATAGCTCCTCCTGTTTTCAAGTATTTATACGTCCTTCAAAGTTTTGGGTTTAAGCATTCCCGATGAAGGTAAATCAAGAAAAGGGCTCTCGACACACCAAATTTTTTATTTTAAAACCAAATTGGCCTTAAAAGTGAAATGAAAAATATCAAAGATCAATTAGCAGGCATTGAACTGATAAAAATACAGATTCTACTTAGGCTTTCTTATTCTTTTTGTACAGTCCAGTCACAATGGAAAAATAAAGCTATTGTGACTGTAACTTCTTACCGGGGGCTATGGTACAACATCTGATTCCTTGATTAGACAAATCTCTTGCTATAGGTAATGTCATGCCTACAATGGCTCCTTTACTGGCCGAGTAAGCAGCCTGACCCATCTGACCATCAAATGCAGCCACGCTTGAAGTGTTTATGACCACACCTCTTTGTCCATCTGCGTCAGGTTGATTCTCCCCTATCAGTCCAACTGCTAGTCTTATAACGTTGAAGCTGCCAATGGTATTGACCTAAAAAATAGACAGAGAACAAATGGATATTCAAAGAAATTATGCTGATAAAATAAGAAATTGTTGAATACTTTCCTGTACTAAATACATTGTATTTACTCTGTGGAATTTAATTTAACTTTTTAAATTTTGTAGATTCAAGCCAACATTATTTTCATTGATATCCAAATTCCTGCAGTGGGAGGAAAAACTTGCAGATTTTAAAGCTATATTCAAGGATTTTTTCATTACTAAAAAAATATGCAAGGAATGCTACATCACACTGATTTTTGAAAGGATGACTAACAAACACACCTCCAATAATAATTAAAAACCAATAGTTCAGAGAACAATTGAAGGTCTTTCCACTTCTTAAGATTTATTTTGATATGAAAATATCAAAATTCGGTTTAAAATGTCATTACCAGTGTCAAATGATAGCTTATTGTTTGCTGATTCCAAAAAAATATATGGTTTCTATACAATTTTGTTTGAAATAACGGAGGTAATTTAATACTTCCGGTCTGAAAAACGTCATTTCCTGTATTATTTGATAGTTTATTTGAAACTGCTTTCAAAAATATTTTGTTCTAAATACTTTTACATGAAATAAGTACAAAAAATAACCATTTCCAGTTTACACAAGGTCACTTATGTTTGCTTTTTCAAAGTCATATGGCTTGTAACCTAATGCACAAAGTCCTATGGCTTTGTGATGTATAAATATGAATTTAAAGCAAAGGTCAAAATCTAGAATGTCAAATTTACCTATGACCTTGACCTCAATTTCAAGGTCATAAACCAAGGACCTCAAATAAAAAAACACTAGGTCTTTATTATATATGGTTAATGAGTTATATCATCATACGCGTAATTTTAAATATAATAGGGTAGAAAACTCCCATGTAATGACACCAAAATGTATGTGTTACGACATGTCGCAACTAACAATTTAGTAAAAATATGTTGTCGATATCTTATATGGTTTTTGAAAAGAAGTGAAAATAAGCCAGATTCAAAATTTAGAATATGACCTTGACCTTTGACCTTGACCTAATTTTTTTTTTGGACCAAAGAACTCAAAATCAAAAGACCCTGGTCTCTATCACTTATGGTTTACCAGTTAGAAATGCATATCACTTATATCAAATGCATAAGGGGAAATAACTCTCATATGGAGTCTCCAGATAGCTTCGGTCCAAATGGTCATCCTAATCCTGAAGATGTAACGAGCAATTTGGTAAAATAAATTTGTCTCTTTCTTTTATGGTTACGGAGGAGATCTCGGAACAATGAAAAGTAAAAATTTAGATCATGACCTTGACCTCAAATTTTTTTTTATGAACCCAGGACCTCAAATACACGTACCTTAGGTCTGTATTACTTACCATTCATGTGATACATTGACATATCACTTATGTCAAATTCAAAAGAGGAAATAACTGTCATATAGAGTCTACGGATTGATTCGGTTAAATTTGACAAATCATCATTAGGATATAACGAGCAATTTAGTACAGAAAATTTGTCGCTTTCTTTTACAATTACAAAGGAGATATCGGAACAATGAAAAGTTAAAATTTAGAACATGACCTTGACCTTTGACCTTGACCTCAAATTTATTTTTATGAACCCAGGACCTAAAATACACGTACCTTAGGTCTGTATTACTTACCATTCATGTGATACATTGACATATCACTAATGTCAAATTCAAAAGGGGAAATAACTGTCATATGGAGTCTACGAATTGATTCGGATAAAATTTGACAAATCATCCTGAGGATATAACGAGCAATCTAGTAAAATAAATTTGTCACTTTCTTTTACGGCTAAGGAGGAGATCTCACCACAAAGAAAACAGTGTTTGGGGAGATAACTCTTACAATAAAAAGTTTTCGACTAAACAGGGTCAGTCTCAAAAGCACAATAACTGTTCGATATTATACGCAAAAAATCTAAGCGACATCTTGTGAAACCACAAAAAACAAGTTTTAAAATTTGGCGGAAGAAGAAAAAAAATAATCAGAACAAATACAATAGGTCTTTCCACAAAATAGTGGAAAGACCTAATTAATCTTATAAATTATTCCATTTTTACACTTGAGAGTAAATATATAATATTGACAAATATTTTTTTAAATTTAGATATTAACAGAAATAATGAACTTTAAATCTATGGTTATTTGACAGTTTTTTAATCTGCAATATTTAAAGATAATAAAAATCAAATTTAAGATCATCAATATTCCTAGAGATGGTAATTATCCAATTACTGTTAAGTCTCAGACCTCCCTCTGCCATGTAATTATGTGTGATATTTCCATGGGTCATTTAATGAAAATTGCACAATACAAAATATTGTGTTTCCATTTCCTGAGAATAATGGCAATCTAGTTATAAATTTATTGATACAATAATTCTGCATGTGGTCGAAAAAAGCATAAATAAATATCTTTATATAAAACCATAACCAGATGATTGATTTTATATCTATGTACTATTTAATGACCCTGAGAACAGCTGTTTTCCCAGTCAATTTAAATCTCATTAATGTCTTCATACCATGTAATTTTAAAATATTATTTATATTTTTATTTTGATATTTTTATTAAAGATATTTATATATGTGCATGTCATCTGGTTGTCAACCAGGAAATACAGTTAATGATTTCATTGTAAATTTGATGTATCTTTATAATATGTATCTCAATAAAGTTTTAGAACAGACCAACTTATCTTAAAAAGGATGTTTGAAATAAAAAAGTCTGATAGAGGTTAAGTCTTAAGAGAGTTCCTGTTTGAAATAAAAGGGTCTAACAGAGGACAAGTCTAAAGGGAATTCCTGTTTGAAATAAAAAGGTTTAATAAAGTTTAAGTCTTAAGGGAATTCCTGTTTAAAATAAAAGGGTCTAATGAAGTTTAAGTCTTAATGGAATTCCTGTTTGAAATAAAATGGTCTAAAAGAGGTTCCCTGGTTATTTCAAAATAACGAAATTCCAAAATAATTATAAGCATCAGAACATTGAGACAAAAACAGGAGTTTTCATATATTTTGTAAAGAGATATTTTTCCTCACCAGATTTTGTAGGGATGCAGTATAAAGTGAATTCAACGAATGTATAAAAAGATAAACTGGTGACACCGAGATACGACTTGCATAAAATTCAGAAAAAGATAATCTGATGGACAGCAACATTGCTTATTAATTCAAAGTCGCGGGACCATGATCTAGTGGACAGGGCCTTTAAATGGTTGACAAACTGTGATATAAAGACAGTAGTGTACCTTAATAGAAAATATCATTGTCTATTTTAAGTAGTTCCTATCAATCTAACTTAAGCAGAAAACTTATCATTGAAATTTGCCAATTAATTCAAAGTCTCTGCACCATATCCTAGGGGGCAGGGCCTCAAAATAGTCGTCAAACTGATATGTATTGATAGTAAACTAATGCAACTTTATATTAAATATCAATGATCTATCACAAGTGGTTCCTATCAAACTAACCTGAGCAGAAATCTTAACAATTGTTTACACTGTTGTTGTCATCGCCGGAAAAGCAATCCCTATGTCTCGCTTTCCACGACTTTCTTCGCAGGGGAGACAAAAACTGGGGGTTTCTTGGAATGATTTCTAATACTCTCACCTGCTCACATCTTAAAATCTCCAAGGGGGGTTTTAAGCAGGAGAGGACCTTATGCATCTCAGTCACATGTCATAAGTGTTTTTAATTTAGTATGCTGTGGTTTTAAATGAGTGAGTATACATATGAGCTTAAACTCAATTTCAAATCTTTTAAGTAACTGTTTTGTGGCATTCAGTCTACGAAGATGGAAGATTTAAAGATTCAGGTCAACTTCTCACCGTGCAATTCTCCATACATCAGGAAATTTGCAGCGCTGAATGCTTTTGAAAGTAATGGCCAGATAAGCACAAAAAATTGAAAACAAGATGACCAATATAACCAGTACCATCTATAAGGAAATGGATATCTAACAAATCTGTTGCTTGTCTTTTCGTAATTTTTTTGTTTTTTTGCCATGGCATTGTCAGTTTGTCTTTCAATTTATGAGTATCTTTTGCCTCCCTTTCCGGAATCCACAAAAATATAATTGTGTATACAATGATATTACTTACTGTTATAACCTCGGCAAAGTCATCCAGATTATGGGGTAGTTTTTTGTTGAAGTTATAGGTTTTAAAGGCGATTCCAATTCCTGCACAATTAACAGCAACGTCAAGTTTCCCAAATTTATCTTTAGCTATTTCTAAAGCCTTTTTCACATCAGCTTCTGATGTTACCTGAAAGAAAAATCAAATCTAGATTTGGATAAAACATTATACAAATTTTGGCAATAAATAATTAGTTACTTTTAAGGTCTCACAGAAGGAGGTTTAAAAACTTGTCTATTCACACAGGGGTCACCACACCAGGCGAAGTGAGCGACTATGTCGCCCTAGGATTCCTGACTTCACTCTAGAAAAGTTCCAGGGAGAAGTTTATGTCGCCCTCGATTTTCAGTAAAATTCCCCAATGTCGCCTCATGATTTTTGAAAAATTCTTGATCCAAACGCAAACACATGTTTAACAGAAAGTCATAGAAATCAAGACTTGAAGAATACATTTCTTTAATAAAAAGCTGAGAATTGAAAATCAATACCATACACGTATATATACAATATTTGTATATATGTTTAAAGCTTCATGTTACCTGTACACCTGTATTTGTATAGTAGAAAGGTTCAATGCTAGATAAATCCTTCATCAAGCTCCATAGGGTTGAAACAATATGCCAAGCTCACGGTAAGTTTCATTTTTTTTATACAAGTCAAGGGTATCTATATTTTTTTTAAAGCATACATCTTAAAAACACTTCTTATAAAATGTGTTTAAAATCTTGTTTCTAGTGCATATATTTTTCATTTTGACATTCCACTCCACGTACCATTTTTATCCCATATTTTTTCTTTTTTTTTTTTAAATCAAATGTCTGTACCTCAAAAACAAGTACACCAAGCCATCATTATTTTTTCCCTAACTTTGATATATCTTGCATTGTCTATTAAATCAACTTCATTTATGAAAATGTCTTAATACTAGCAGGATATATCCTAAAGTTGATTTTCTAGCAAACTATACCATCGTGTTCACTACTTACATTTGTTGGGGAGAATATACAGTTGTCACCTAAATTGTCAGCAACATCTTTACCAGGTGATTTCTCAAGATCACATAGAATAACTCTAGCACCTTGTCTTACAAATCTTTCTACCGTGGCTTTCCCAAGTCCTGATGCCCCACCAGTAACTAACCCCACAAGCCCCTGAAAATAAAAAAGAAATCAGTTTATAATGCTACTCAATTCAACGGTGCAATCATTTTGTGCAACTAAACAAATCTTTAGTGTTCACTTGGCTTTAAGCTCCAATTGTATTTAAAATGTTCATGGTTACCTAATTATTATCACAACATAAAATATAAATCTAAGCCCCTTCAGGTTTCTCAAGCAATTATATATTAGTTGGTTGACTGTCACAACACTCGCATTATTTGTCTTCTGACAACAGTCATACCATACTAAAGTATTTGTCTACAACAAGACAGTGTGAATGTCATGGGGGTTCTTAAATTCAATAACAAAGGGGGTAAATTGTATATCAAAGCCCTTGTTGGCATTTAATTTTGGCATGCCATTGTTACAAAGGAAACAAATAATCTTTTCTTATTGCTTTTAGTTCTCCATTGTTAACAAAAGTCAAACCTTTTCTAAGACATTCACTGACAAGGTTCCTGACTTACAATAGACAAGATGAACATGTGCCCAGGTTTAACTTGTCTTCAGGAAAGGAAACAAACTTTTGTATGACAACTTGTCAAAGGTAATAAATCTGTCTTATATTTTAAACCTCTTAGACACAGACTGAATGAAACCTTAACTTACAGTTGGTCAATATAATATATTTTTCATATGAATGAATTTTCACCATCCTGCACTTTGCCAAATATTGCAACAAGTTATCACTTTGAATTTGTTTTTCTAATCTTGTTTTCTTGTTTAATAATTTACTACTTAAGTATTATGTAAAAAAATCAAGCATATCATAATTTGATATAATAAAATTACCTTTCTTCTAGGTCTATGTTAGAGCAATGCATAAAAATTATGAGTGTTCATTAAAATAAATACCAGTTACTGGGTAGTTAAAGAAAGATAACTCTAAACAACAAAACATGACTATTTCAGATATTTTTACTACTATCAAATTGTCAATTCTAAGAACTTTAAACCAGTTATGACATGTATAATTCAGTTCTTCATTTAAAAAGACCTGTTGGAGTATCTGGTAATTAACAGGATGACAATGCAAGATTTATGACATTGAAGTAGTTATTCATGATTGAATGGAATTAGATTTACAACACTACACAAAATCCATAACTTGGCTTAATGTCTATATCTATTGAGACAAGGCAAGTTACACTTAACCTGATCAGGTACCCAACAAGGACCTCCTGGATTTGAGATGAATATGCTACCATTACATCATTGAAAGAGATTGGCAAATCAATACTTAAGAGGCTCTAGAGAGCCTGTGTCTCTCACCTGGATCTATGTGCATTTTCACCATTGAACATGTTGAAGAATAGAACATAATTCATGACTAAAATCTTTTTGTTTTGTAGATGATCTCGGGATTCTCCTTCTGATCATTTTTCCTGTTAACATTTTTCTTTAACTATCTACAGTCTTTCTATAATATGCAAACAAAGAGTAAAAATCAGCATTAGAAGGCAATAACTCCTATAAAGAGTCAACTGACAATTTCAGCCATGTTGATATAATTGCAGATCTTTTTTTATCTAACTGTTTACAGATTTTCTTCATCTTCTATAGATTTAGTCAAAAGTACAAAAAAAGGCAAAAATCTAAAACAAACAAAAATAGGTTCAAAATGTCATTTGAGGTAGAACAGGTTGACAATACATTTAATGCAAAGAATTCGAAATCCAAATCATTTTAGGTAACAATTTTTTTTCTTCAAAATTTGATTGAAAAATTCACATTTTGGCATTTGTTTGTTATATTTTGAAATGGCAGCAGTATTGAAAGTAAACAACGACACGACGGGCTATGTATTTATTTTAAGTTATTAATTTAAAAGTTATATTTAAAATAGTTTAATTGTGTCTTATTGCTTTTGAGAAATTACTTATTCCACATTCACCATGTTCACTTTGGTAAATTTATTAGAAAAACTCTCTCTCACACAAAATAAAGATTTTTATCACAGATCCTGCATTGTTTACACCATGTACACTTACATCGTAAATCAACTTGTGAAAAGATATTTTGTAATATTTTTACCATGGAAATCAAATAACTTATCTATAGATGCAAATGGTTTCAGCCATAATGTCTTACCTTGAAGCAGCATAGGATCAAACATTGTTTTCTTTTTGAGAGAATGGATAAATTTTGTTTGTTTTAGGGAGCTACCATTTGATTTTTATTGGGGGGGGGGGGGGGGGGGGGCTAGGATGAAATTTGAAAAAAAGGCAGGACAGGAGTTTTGAGTAAAAAAAAAAAGGCAGGATGAGCAACTTGGCTAAAAAAAATAGGCAGGACCGAATAGAGTGAAAAATAAAAAGGCAGGACAGACTGATTTCAACTAAAAAAATGCAGGAGAACATTTTTCATGTAGTTTAGTTTTATGCGATTCTTAATGAAAATATTTCATGATTTTATTTTAAATTAATAAAAGATAACCTAGAATGGATGTTAACTGAGGTCAAATGTATATAGTTTTCAATCTTCTAAATCCTTTGTCACAAGGGTAACCAGTAAATATACATAATCCTAATTAACAGATCATGATTAACCCAGTAACATGCAGAGTTACCGAACATAATTATAACTTGAATAGTTGCATATGGTTTAAAGAGTAGTGGTCATGTAGTTTCAGAGGAGAAGATTTTTGTAAAAGATTTAAACGGACCACCCATGGATGCCAAGGGACGAGAATAGCTCACTCGACTCTTTGGCACAGGTGAGCAATAAATGATATGCCAAGATTAAATTTTCTATGTTTTCTATTTGTAAGTATCTACATGTGCTTTTTTATAGAAAAAATCCAAACTGTCAATAAAATTCTTGACTATGTCACCATTCAGACTTTTGATCAATGACATGGGAATGTCAAGACTCAAGTTATAAGCGATTATGGTAAGCAAAAGTGTAAGAATTTGCACAGTGATAAATGTGCAACATGGGGAAAATGTTTTGAAGCCGTTCTTAGCAATAAGCATGTGTTGCCATTATTCTATTCACCTTTAAATTACCAATTGGCATATTTGAATTTTGCAAGTCCGAAGTTTACTAAACATGTGTTTACAGAACTTTTTTGTCCAATCAAGATACATTTTAAAATTTACTCCGTGTTTCTGTATGGAAGGATAAAATAAATACAACATTTCCGAGCTAGTAACCAATTTTAATAAGTATACGAAAAAAATGTTAATACATTTGCCTCGTTTATATTTGTGAAACTTAGATTTATTTATAACGTAAAAATTCTGTGATTTTAGGTATAGAAGGGGATGGAGTAGGGAAGTCTTCAATTTTGTATTCTTTAATTTGCCGGCCATTTTTCTTTATCCATGTGTTACCAAAAATCAATCTCATTTTAATAATATATTTTGCTTATATAAAGGAGTACATTCACAAAGATTAGCATATATTTTTTAGACACTTTAGAATAATAAACTATACAAACTAAATTAATTTCCATAATGAAATATCTAAATGTTGTGCTTTTTCATTTTTTTCGGGAAAAAAAAAGTAAAAGTTTTGAACAATTTATGACTTCTTTATCCCTGCTGTAAAAGGTTTAAATTACAATTACATCTGTAGCAACGAAAATTATATTACATTTATTGAAACCAAAAACCTCACTGCAAACACGCAAATATCAAACCAACTGAGAAATAAACACTCCATAAGAAGAAGCCAACGGAACATCACAATCAAGGAAAGGAAAATTTACTGCAGGAAAGGAAAAATCCTCTCCCTTCATCATTACTTTTGGTATAAACATTACAATGTAAAAGTATAATATGAAGGTCACAAACAGGACACCGGTCACTAAAAATGCTTTATGAAGAAAGAATCAGTTCGTGTGGATCAATTTCATTTGTATATTTAGAAAAATCCGATACGTTTTAACAGAAAATTTCATCTTAATATCTGCTTGCACTGTTAAAAATATTGAACAAGTGGTGCTTTGTAAGGTCTTTGTGGAGCAGCTATAAACGTATATTTCACCGACATACATTTAAACAACACACTTAAATTGGTCCAAAGATATGACCAGTGTATCTCGAAGAAAATAAACTTCAAATGCTCTAAAATGGCAAATATTGCTAAAAAATTGAATAAAGCAAACTGTAGGCAGATAAGATGTTTGGTTTATTCAAATTTGTATATTTTAGAATGCAATTTCAAATACATGCATTGCTTGTCTTGGAATTAATAATATATTTCGGAAAGGCTGTGCAAAATGAGTAACATAAAACAGAGTATAAAATTAGTTCAAGACAAACTGAAAATATTTTGAATTCTGTACTTTCGTTTTAAATAGATATTCAAATATTGTAAAAACAAATCCTTAAAGTACGAAAAATGAACAATCTACCCTTCCGTAGTGCTGCACCTAATCTTTTTAATGGGACATGTCCTTCATGCATATATGTATATATTTCAGTATAATAAAAAAAAACTATGTTTTGTCGGACAAACTTTCTCTCATAAACACGGGTCAGGACCAATTATAAAATTCACGATCCATTGAACTTACAAAAAGATGATACTAAGGGTGAAGTCAAAATTTTAAGTCGAAGTACGACGGACATCATGCACCATGCATGGCAAAATATAAAGAAAAAAATACCAACAGTCTCCAAAATACAACACTGAAAATTTAAGATTGAACAACATATAACCTTGCAAAACGTGGGGTAGGAGTTTCGGGAACACATACTAATTATGATATCGAAGAATATTTATACATATATAACTATTTTCTATTGTGAGATGTAATATTTTCTACAACTGTTCTAGATTAACGGAGAAATAAGTAAAAATGCACGTCAAAATGGCGAATTGAGTGAACCATGCCTCGAATTTGTTTAATTTCTCCTTAAATTGTTCACATGGTACGGAAAGAAAGATATTGACATGGAGATTGCAAAGCTAGTCACTTTGAGCACCTCAATACTTGTATGTCTGCGTATGGAACGAAAGAAATGGTTCATGTCAAAATGGAAGCACCCGGTTTTGTCCTAGATTTCACAAGGCAGAACTCGGTTTTGTCAAAGAAAAAAAAAAGGCATAATCACATAACATAATTGAACTTCAGCAATTAAAAGAAGTTTGGTGGCTGGTTGGAAAACGATTTCTTACAGAGGACAACTTATTATTTATTTGAATCTGTAAACACTATATTTTTGAATTATGTAAATTTTAGTGTTTAAACTTAAAATTAAAGTTTATGGTCTTAAAGATTGAAGAACGCACATTTGATATGTGATTTTCTTGCACAACAGGATGGTTATCTTTATAAGTAATCCAATCTACCTAGGGGTGTTATATTTCCTATGATCGTTTAAAATAAATCTTCTTAAGGCTAAATGTTCATTATATGACATGATAATCAGACAAATATATATATGCTTGCAGAATCGCCATAGAAAATGAATGTTTATGGTAAGAAAAGGATTACAATAATCATGCATTAAAAATCAAATCCATCTATCCCTAATTGTAACTATAATACTAAATATAAATTAGTATAATAGTCTCAGGCCATCGAGAAAATGCAATAATGATTATTAATAGTTGTATAAATAAACTGTTCTGTTCTCTCTCCATTGTGGTATGATTATCGTACATTGACGTTGGTCAATATATTATTGAAAATATATAGTGACGGATTCAGTTTTTTTCAAAGTGGGTGTAATTCAAACAGCTTACATACCACAGAGCGTAGCGAAGCGAACAATGTTTTGGACGAATTAAGCTAAAAAAAATCGTAAAAAAAATATTTAATATTTTTTGGGCCATCAAAGGTGGGGGTGTGGGGCGTGTGTGACCTATACGCCGCCTGGATTCGCCTGGATTCGCCACTGATGATATATAACTAAATCGTATACCAACTTAAAATTTTACAAGAAATAAGAAAGCAGGGACACCCGGAAAATGGATGTATGTGAGTAGGATTATCATGTTTATTCTAAAAATTCACATTGATATTTTGGAATTGTCGGAATGCGAGACCAAGGGATGCAAATTCGTGGCGACTTGAACTATTTGTATGAAGCTTCATATGTCAGAAGTTAGAAGGCCTGACTGCAATATGCCTCGCACACAGATCTTTTATGTAACGATGTTTCTATCTGTCATATGTCCATTACCCTTGACCTCATTTTCATGGTTCAGCGAATTCCTAACAAAATGAATAGCTGATAATGGTTGATATCTATGATCAAGGTTAACATTTCGTGTTGAAGTCCGTATCTCTAATACCATAAGTAATAGGTCATCTATATTTGCTCGTATGGCGCATATGACTATTTAAGTGACCTTGAACTTATTTTCTTGATTAATTGGTAAATGTTCACTTTTTTTTTGGTTGGTTTTAATGATTGTAATGTGTTCATGTCCGTCTGGCAGGTTTCATCAGACCTTGACTTTTTTTATGGTTCCATGAACAATGTTAATTTTATGAGATACTTTTATTAAATTATTTATCTTACAGACCTTCAAAATCAATTCGATAACGATCATTCCAGCAGTCGCGACATGTCAGTGCGTACAGTCACTCTTGTATAAATAATACGTAGTATTTATTTTTGTTAAAAAAATGCAATTGAAGTTGTTTTGCCATGTCTGATTAGTTTATCTCGTTCGTGTAAGCCTTAATTATGAATTGTTAGACTTTTTTAAATTCAAGAACGGTGCAATCTTGTTTGAAATTCTTGGTTGGTTTTAGCTCACCTGACCCCAAGGGAAAAGTGAGCTTTTTTCATCACTTGGACCCCGTCGTCCGTCGTCTTCCATTAATTTTTTACATAATCTTCTCCTCTGAAATTACTGGGCTACAATACATTTAACAAACCTTATCCACAATCTTATGTCGGGTTTACAGCTCTTCTATAAAAGCATGCAAAGCAAACCTTTGATCAACTTGCTTGCTATGTTTGCTTGGATGTTTGCAAACAATAGGTAGGCGGAGTTTCAGTCTGTTTTGTATATACTGGAATTTGATTAGACAATAAAAATTGACATGCAATGAAGTTTATGTTTATTGTCCAATCAAATTCCAGTATATAGTAAACAGACTGAAACAGACTACCTACCTTTTGTTTACAAACATCCAAACAAACATAGCAAGCAAGTTGATCAAAGGTTTGCTTTGCATGCTTTTATAGAAGAGCTGTAAAAGGTCTAACGAACTTATGTTTATCTGTTTTTCATCATCATTGGGGTACCCCGATTGTCAACAAAGATGGCCGACATGGCTTAAAATATACCATAGGGGGATGCAAGTTTTGTCTATTATTTGAAAACAGCTATAGATAGAGAAAACAGGGGCAGATATGTAATAGTTCACAAATTTCTCCTTTTTTCCATTTTTGTCTATTATTTTGAAATATATAAAAGTTATATAGCAAAAATGATCAGCAAGACAATATATACAAATAAGTCGACTTGGTCGATATCCTTGTAAGAATTATTGACCTTTAATTACGATTTTTACCATTTCTTTGCGTTTTTGCCAATTATCTTAAAAAAATCTTCTCCTCTTTAATAATTTAATCAAACTTGGCCACACGCTTTATTGAGGTATCTGGTTTGAAAACCCACATGATCAGCCATTTGTAAATTTAATTTTTGTTTCAGGGTACCAGTGTTAACGTTTCTTTTCATAAAATAAACAAAACCGGGTTCTATACAAAGACAAAACCGGGTCATTGTGTAGTAAACAACATTGACAAAACCGGGTGCTTCCATTTTGACATGACCCATTTCTTTCGTTCCATACGTAGAAAAACAAGGATTGAGGTGCTCAAAGTGATTAGTTTTGCAATCTCCATGTCAATATCTTTCTTTCCGTACCTTTCTTTCCGTACCATTTGAACAATTTAAGGAGAAAGTTAAAAAAATAGAGGCAAGGTTCACTCAATTCGTCATTTTGACGTGCATTTTTACTTATTTCTCCGTTAATCTAGAACGGTTGTAGAAAATATTACATCTCACAATAGAAAATAGTTATATATGTATAAATATTTTTCGATATCATAACAATAACAAATAAATAAACAGAAAACTACCCTTTCTCTGTCAATTGATGTTCCGTCACCGTGCCGGATATTAGATACCATCGAGTCCAAACATTTTTTGCCGGGGTAGTATAGGGAAAACGGTATTATTATATTTTCCCAGCATTAGTTTGGCCTTTTGTGTACCCAAGACAGGTGAAGGAAGTCAACTTAGGAGCGCTGTGATTGGATGTAAGGGTACAATATATTTTTCTATTTATCTATGAATAACTGCAGTGTGTATATTTACAATATAAATTTTGAAACCTATTGAAATATTTTCTAGAGAATTATTCGAAAAGACTTCCAATATTTCATAAATTTGGTGTAAAATGACGGTGGGCATGGATAACATAAACAAGCTCCGTGGGAAGTTGGTCATGATACTATTTGGCTTTAATTTTTAAAACAGAATAACAAAGTACTAACACCACACATAACTGTTTTATCCATGTTTTTATTATAAAAATTGGTAAATTTAGAAAATGTTAGTATTGTCGCCTATGGCAGAATAAATAGTACCGTTTTCCCTTTAGACACAGTGAAGTATGGTGATAACACACCGCAGTCGTTTCGATTTTGAAGAACCTTTGTCCGCCTTATAGTCACTTCCAATAGAAAGAGATATATATAAAAAAAAACTACAGAAGTTTAACTCTAGACATCACGAAGTAGTGGATTATTTTCAGGTGGGATGTCATGAAATATCGCCAAGACATGTGCTTTGAATGACATCCTTTTGTCAAATTTGACTTTGTGTGAGGTCTGATCACTGAACAATCCAACGGGTGTTGCTTGCGAACAAGGATTTCCTTACTTTTCGCAAAAGATGCGTTTTCAAATATTTTAACAAAATTTATTAGAAAAAAAAATCTGATTGGTTTGTTCCTTGCATTGCATACCATAGTTTCATCCTGTTCTATATTTATGAAGTTGGTGTATGAATTTTCTTTGAAGTTCAGCAAACGATATTAGAGTGTAGGATGTCATCATTTCTTATTATCAGGCTAAGTACTCGGTGAGAGCGCCCGATCATTCTTTAGTACGGAATTTTTTTTTTGTAATTTTATTATCTATTATACAGTTATTTAAGAATTGATGTGTACCATCGGAATTGATTTTTGTTGTATGTATATGTTTTTATGTACGCTCTCAGTCCACTTGCCGATATAAGCAGAAACTAGAATCGTTGAAATAAAAAAAGAATAGACCTAAACCCGCCAAAAACCCATATTCTGTCCAAATCCAGGAACCACGTTAGTGGTTGACTCGTGATATCATGTTATTTTTCCTTTTTGTTTTGTTATTTGGAAAATTTGGTGTTGATTGCTGAATTTCAATTGTATCACTGAAGATTATTATAGACCCGGGATATTTACAGCATGACATATCGAAGTATATTTATGCATATATATTGTTAATCTTATTAAGAAAAAAATTACACACCTGATTAAATGGGCATATAAAAAAGTCGGAATGCGAATATATATGTTCAAACTCTTTTAGGTCATTTTTTAGTAACAACAAACAAAAGAACTATGTCAATTGGACCTGCTTTGATACTATAACTGCCCTTGAAATTTTACTAGATAAAAATTTTGTTCGCTTTGGAGATTCCGTATATCTTCAGGTTATCGGAATTCCCATGGGGACTAACTGTGCACCACTTATTGCGGACCTGTTTCTGTATTGCTATGAGTTACAATTTATGACTAAAATCAGCAAAGACCCATCGAAACAACATCTGATTCAAAAATTTAATAACACTTTTAGATATTTAGATGATATATTGGCTCTCAATAATGACGACTTCAGTATGTACACTAAAGAGATTTATCCTGCCGAACTGACTTTAAATAAAGCTAATACTAACAATGAACACTGCCCTTTTCCTGGATCTTGATATCTATATCTTTAACGGGAAGCTTAATACCAAAGTTTATGATAAAAGAGATGATTTTTCATTTCCTATTGTTAATTATCCATTTTTAGATGGTGACGTTCCTTTGTCACTATCTTATGGCGTTTATATATCTTAACTTGTTCGATTTGCTCGTGTATGTAACAACGTATTTGATTTTAACGAAAGAAATCTCTGTATTACTGAAAAATTATTACACCAGGGTTTTCGATATCACAAACTAGTCAAAACACTTACTAAATTTTATCATCGATACAAGGACATCATTCGTAAATATAAAGCAACATGCAGACATCTTATACGTTCGGGTATTTCACATCCAATATTTTATGGTAATATTCTTTACAAAGCACAAAAATGTCGGCATTCACCTCAAAAGCTAACCAAACCTTTAAACAGACTTATTCGGAAAGGATATAGTTACGATACTGTTGTCAAGTCATTAAGGATTGCATATTTTGGTATTAATATTGATTCACTCATAGGGTCTTTGCATCGGAAATAAACACATTTATTCTAAAACCATTATTGGCATGATGCGGGTTATGTTCTTCTCATATATTTTATGATGGTATGATACAAAGCCCCTTACGGGAGGGATTGTACTTGATTTTCATATGATGAAGACATAATCTTTCAATCAGTTTAATTGAGGTCTGGGGCTGGCATGTCAGTAACTGCTATAGTAGTCCTTTGTTCATTTATGTATCATTGTCATTTTGCTTAGTTTCTTTTGTTACCTATTCTGACATCGGACTCGGACTTCTTTTGAACTGAGTTTTACTGTGCGTATTGCTATGTGTTTCTTTATTCTACATTGGCTAGAGGTATAGGGGGAGGGTTGAGATCTCACAAAACATGTTTAACCCCGCCGCATTTTTGCGCCTGTCCCAAGTCAGGAGCCTCTGGCCTTTGTTAGTCTTGTATGTTTTTTTAATTTTAGTTCATTTATATGTTTTGTAGTTTAGTGTGACGTCCATTTTTACTGAACTAGTACACAATTTTATTTATTGGCCATCTGAGGACCACCTCTGGGTGCGGGATTTTCTCGCTGCGTTGAAGACCCATTGGTGGCCTTCGGCTGTTGTCTACTCTTTGGTCGGGTTGTTGTCTGTTTGACATATTCCCCATTTCTATGCTCAATTTTATTGATAACTGTAAATTTGGTTAATGTTTGATTGACGTTAAGGTCACATATCCATCAAATCAAAATTGTAAGAATCTTACACAGTCTGCAGTAGAAAACAAATTCTGTGGCATTCTTTTATAAAAAAAAATTGCAATTTGCATATGGTTAACTATACATTTTTGTAAATGATAAAACTTCTTAATAGTTAAATATATACGCACTTCTTTAAGTTGTAACGAACGAAACCGTAAGAACAAAAGACTTGAATTTTGAGTAAGAATATTATATGTTAACATCGTCGTTATATTTTCAAGGATCCTTTTAGACCTGTCGACTTGAAAAGCTAGACATGTTTGGATATAAAGAAGTCAACATAGTATGATTATAAAGTTGCATAAAGAACATAGATGCAAACTTTTGATGAAATGTTTTGCCAGTGTAACTCCCTAGGCGTTGATAGGTATTATCACGTTATCCAATTTTCTAAAAAACTCAATAAGAACCCGAGAACCGATAGAAATTACTCTAACTTTCTACTATATATGGTATAATATAACTGCTTTTGTAGACAATAAAGACTATAATTTGGAGATATATGTAATTTTTACTCAATAAAATTCCAATTTAACTACAGGAATTCGATTAGTGTGTCTTGTTTTTGTCATTTTTTATTGACTTCCCCTTGATTGGTATTTTTTTTAACTTTTTTTGCATACAAGACACTCAATTCGAATCATCAGAAGTCCAATACTAGTAAGGGTCTAATGGTATTATTATCATTCAGCCGAATATGACTTATGATCACATGACTTAGTCTTCTATTTGTAGTACTGTATCACATGTTAACACTTACTTCTTCCTTGAGTGTTTATCTTATTTCGAACAAAAGTCAAACTTATTTGATAGCAATCATAAAAGCATATAATATTTATACAAATTGTAGCAATCATAAAAGCATATAATATTTATACAAATTGATTTTAAGGTACATACTCCTCCAAATATTTGTTACGAGATCGGGACCGCAGATAAGGTTATAGATCTGGTCTGGTTTGTTATTTAATTTCTAATAAAGATACCAGATCCTAAAAAAATTGAAAGGTTGTGCAATCCTAAACGTGTGTTTTCAGTTTATTGTTTACTGAATTAAAACAGTAAAACACAGCAAGGGAGAAGATTAAGAATATAACGTTCCAAGTCCGAATTTTTTTTCCGCTAACATAATGGAAAATACCTTTTCCGCAGTGAAATTAGCTTGTTCCAGTTCGCCAACAAGCTTATCAGAATGGCAACATCTAAATGAATTGTCAGTTCAACTAAAGAATTGTATGCTTGTGGAATCTGAAAGGTTTGAATATGTTAGATAGCTCAGTTCTCAGCCTTAAGACTTGGTGGCACAGCAAAAGGCACTTGGGGCCATGACCCCCCTACCCACCCTCTTTTTTCTATTACAGATAATATGAGGCAGGCATTACCTGTGAAAAGGGACGAAGTCTATATAATTTTTTTTTTTTTTAATTTCTCAAACATATTTTAAGTTCTAAATCTGTTAAAAAAGAAACAGAAATACCGTAACGTTTCCGATTTTGGTTCTGTTGTTAGGGATTTTAGTTGTGACGTTATTTTAGTGATGACGTCATATTCAATGTAAACAAAGAAACGCTATCATCAATTAACGTTTTTTCATATCAAAGAATAATTAGAAATGAAATTGTTATTGTGTTCCTTCCTATATTTTACTGGACTGATAAAAATATATTTCACTCAAAGTCTCATGACAAACGAGACCGGAAGAAGCCAGGAAGTAGATTTCTGAGCAAATGCGGGAATTAAAAAAAGTGACAAAAAAAAAGTTAACGATTTTGAGTTCATTAGTACAATGAAAATTTCAGGAAATTTTCCCGATTTTTTTTTTTTTTTTTTTTATTGATTTTTCTACTGTAATAGGGGACTTCGTCCCCTTATTATCAATAATTTCATCGGTAGGTCTTTTCACCACTGAACACCACCGAACACATAAAAATACCATCTAACACACCTAAATATATAGTTTACTTACCTTCTGAACGAGGATGAATATGTTTATACATGTAAATACCTAAATTAATAAGAAATGATAACAAGAGAACCAAAAAGAACAGTCTTGCAGGGCTGTTGTCAGAACAGTACACTTTCAAGTCTAAAATTTAAAAAAAAAAAATTATTGTGATGATTTCACATTAAATAAAATGTTTTAACTTATTTGAACAATTTATTTCTAATAATTGAAAAGTAAAGACCATAAGATAATAAACAATGAAATACAGACAGTGTAAATCTGGAAAAAATATTGCTGGAACCGATCCGGAAGCGTTTTATTTTAATTTTGATTCCCAACTTCAACATTGCACATAAAAATGTGAAAACATGAGAATAGGATTAAATTTTACGTAATTTAATCGATATTTTTGTTTAATTGTGTAACATTACTGTTTTTCTTAAGGGTTTGTGGTCTTTTTGGGTGTTCAGTGGTGTGCGGTGGTGTTTGGTGGTGAAAAGACCGACCCATAATTTCATAGCTTCCGTGATCTGTACATGTGTTATGATCTGTAAGTCAATGATTACAGGATGTAATGTATGATACCACTTTCCCATGTTACTAAACTTTGCCTATACAGCTTATTTTCGTCCTTAATCTGTTAGAGTTGGCAATACATGTAGTATACTGGTTCATATTAGAGTACATCCTTAATCTGTTAGAGTTGGCAATACATGTAGTATACTGGTTCATATTACAGTACATCCTTAATCTGTTAGAGTTGGTAATACATGTAGTATACTGGTTCATATTACAGTACATCCCTAATCTGTTAGAGTTGGTAATACATGTAGTATACTGGTTCATATTACAGTACATCCCTAATCTGTTAGAGTTGGTAATACATGTAGTATACTGGTTCATATTAGAGTACATCCTTAATCTGTTAGAGTTGGCAATACATGTAGTATAAAAATAAAATTGAGAATGGAAATGGGGAATGTGTCAAAGAGACAACAACCCGACCATAGAACAGACAACAGCAGAAGGTCACCAACAGGTCTTCAATGCAGCGAGAAATTCCCACACCCGGAGGCGTCCTTCAGCTGGCCCCTAAACAAATATATATACTAGTTCAGTGATAATGAACGCCATACTAAACTCCAAATTGTACACAAGAAACTAAAATTAAAAATAATACAAGACTGACAAAGGCTAGAGGCTCCTGACTTGGGACAGGCTCAAAAATGCGGCGGGGTTAAACATGTTTATGAGATCTCAACCCTCCCCCTATACCTCTAGCCAATGTAGAAAAGTAAACACAAAAGTATACTGGTTCATATTACAGTACATCCTTAATCTGTTAGAGTTGGTAATACATGTAGTATACTGGTTCATATTACAGTACATCCCTAATCTGTTAGAGTTGGTAATACATGTAGTATACTGGTTCATATTACAGTACATCCCTAATCTGTTAGAGTTGGTAATACATGTAGTATACTGGTTCATATTAGAGTACATCCCTAATCTGTTAGAGTTGGTAATACATGTAGTATACTGGTTCATATTAGAGTACATCCCTAATCTGTTAGAGTTGGTAATACATGTAGTATACTGGTTCATATTACAGTACATCCTTAATCTGTTAGAGTTGGTAATACATTTGTACATGTAGTATACTGGTTCATATTAGAGTACATCCCTAATCTGTTAGAGTTGGTAATACATGTAGTATACTGGTTCATATTACAGTACATCCTTAATCTGTTAGAGTTGGTAATACATGTAGTATACTGGTTCATATTACTGTACATCCTTAATCTGTTAGAGTTGGTAATACATGTAGTATACTGGTTCATATTATAGTAGGTCCTTAATCTGTTAGAGTTGGTAATACATGTAGTATACTGGTTCATATTACAGTACGTCCTTAATCTGTTAGAGTTGGCAATACATGTAGTATACTGGTTCATATTCAGAGTACAGATCACCAAATACATATGCAACAGATCTATGTAAGATTGTGTAAGTAATAAAAAAACGGAGGGATATGCAACCACAGAACAACCAAAATATACCACAGAACATCAAAAGTACGGTACAAAATGCAAAAATAAATACAGAATTATATTATTTCTATAAAAGGTTGGGGAAGATCCTCTTACATGGGTACTATCCACATTTATGTGTACATACACAAATGTATTGTACCCCAAAGCAGGTATCAATTTGCATTGTTAAAAATAAAAATTTTGGATTTCAAGATATTTGCTATCATGATGCAAACATTCAGGTAAATCACAACATTTTGCCCTAACACCATGACTGAAATATCATCTGGGTAAAAGTCATTAAAATATAGGCGAAGGATACCAAAGGGACATTCAAACTCATAAGTCGAAAATAAACTGAGAACACCATGGCTAAAAAAGAAAAAGTCAAACAGACAAACAACAGTACACAAAACATAACATAGTTATATTAGAAAACAAAAGACTCAGCAACACGAACCCCACCAAAAACTTGGGGTGTTCTCAGGTGCTTCGGAACGGTAAGGAGATCCTGCTCCACATATGGCACCCGCCGTGTTGCTCATGTTAGTACAAACCCTGTGATAAGTCTAATTCGGTATGTCATATTCGGGGGAAAAGGAGACAGGATTGTAGTTAAGACAATTGGAACATATCTGTTGTCATCTATAAAATGGATACTCCATAACGTTCAACCAACTCGGGATGGTGTCCGTCAACTTTACGAAGGGATGATTTCAACTTCACCACTTGAAACTCTTGGTTTAATAACTTCCATGTGAACAGCAACCCTCTATCAAGGAAATCATGATAGGAAATACAAGCCCTGGAATATTGTATGAACTGGGAGATATAAACTCCGTATGCAGGCACTGCTGGAATGTTGCTACATACATGTAGAAATGGAAAGTTCACAATTGTTAAGCTGAAATCATCTCTTTTGTCGTAAAGTTTTGATTTCAACCGACCCTCATTGTCAATTTCTAGATGAAAGTCAAGATATGAGGCAGACTTAACTGTATCTGTTGTATCCTTTATCTCAAGTTCGATGGGATTGATGCGTTCAACATAGTCACCAAATTCGAATTATTTAGTGAGAGAACATCATCTATATAGCAGAAAGTGAAGTTTAAGGATACTGCTAACTCCTTACTTTCTTCCTAAGAAGTACCTGTATGAAGTCAGCCTCATATGAATAAAGGAACAAGTCAACAAGAAGAGGAGCACAGTTGGTCCCCATGGGAATGCTGATTGTTTGTTGAAAAATACGTCCTCCAAACGTAACAAATATGTTGTCAATCAAGAAATCAAGCATCTTGATAATGTCAGCTTCAGAGAATTTTTATACTCCCGTTTACGGGGCGTATTGTGGTATACCGTTGTCCGTCTGTCCGTTTGTCCGTCCGTCCGTCCGTCCGTCCGTCCTCAACATGTCGGACGATAACTCAAAAACACTTTAACCAATTTGTATAAAACTTTGGTGAATTGTTTATATCTATTGACGTGAGCTCTCTTTCGTTTTTTTATAAATTTTAGATTTTACGTTTCCGAGTTATGGGGTTTTATTCATTAAAAAAAGGGGGATTTTCCAGTTTTCGGACAATAACTCAAGAATGCTTTCACCAACTTGCAAGAAATTGTGGTGAATGGTTTATATCTAATGACATGAGCTCCCTTTCGATTTTTATATATTTTAGATTTTGCGTTTCCGAGTTACAGGGTTTTATTCATAAAAAAAAGGTGATTTTCCAGTTTTCGGACAAAAAATCAAAAATGCTTTCAGCAGTTCTTATGAAACTTTGGTGAATTGTTTATATTTATTGATGTAAGCTCCGTTTGGAATTTTATAAATTTTACATTTTACATTTTTGAGTTATGGGGTTTTATTCATTAAAAAGGTGGGGATTTTCCAGTTTTTGGACAATAACTCAAAAATGCTGTCAGCAATTCTCATGAAACTTTGTTGAATTGTTTATATCTATTGATGTAAGCTCCCTTTAAATTTTCATAAATTTCTAATATGACATTGAGAATTGATTGAACTTTAATTGTTTATAGTCGGACAACAGCACAGTGTATTGCACAACAGCAAGAAATCTTTAATTGAATATAAATTCAATTCATATAACCAATTTCAAGTTCTTTGACTACATTTATTCAGAAACCTATAATATATCAAATATTTAATACAATCCAAATTCAGACCTGTATCAAGCTTGAATATTGTGTCGATTTTTGCCCCAACTGTTCAGGGTTGGACCTCTGTGGGCATATCCAGCTGTGCTCAGCTAAGCAGTTTATTTTGTTTGAATCAGAGTGAGTTTTTTACAAAGTATGATTTATCCCTCCCCAAGACAAGAAACTTGTACTTAAGTAGGGCATTCTATTTTATGAAACAAAGCAGGACCAACTCTTTCAATTTTTCTTTCGGTTTGAAATGGGGAATACTTGTGTAAAGTATAGAAAAGTCAAATGTTTTAATGCTAATGCAAGATGTTAAACAAGTTGGGATTTTTTTGGAGGCCATTTTCTTTGTATTCAGTTCTTATTTGAACTATAGTCTTAACAGGAAAAATGTTGCCATTTAGATGAATGTTTGCTTCATGAAGCTGTTATGATGAAATGCAAAATTAAATTTTTTGTCATTGTAGATTGATACCCGATTTTGGGTATACATGTAATCCCTATAAATGCCAACGGGATAGTAACCATTTATGAGGATCTTCCCCAACCTGTATAATATTCTATAAATGTAGAAATGCCTACCCTGGAATATTACACATGAAAATAGATATATGAAGTATAAAATTAAATTAAATCTTAAATATATTTCCTCAATCACCAGTATTGACAATGTAGAAAGGCTGCTGTTAAACAGATATTTTCAAATGAAAAATCATTTGTTTACTGTATAACTACATATAGATCATAAACTAATTTGTTTTAGAACTAAACTTACTGCTGAGAACCTCTCAACACTGGTGGATTTGATACATCTATGTAATCATGGTATAGAAAATCAAACAGAAGTCTATTCCACTAATAACTGTTTAACAGAAGTTTACAGGACACTAAGAAATATGTGTGTAGAGAGTGAACAGAACCAAGATTTACTTAGCGACCATGAACATTTACTTACAATTTCAAAAGATTCTATACAGGCCTTGGTAAATCAGATCAAATGCAGTAAGGATTCAGACATTTTTGTGACATTGAGATGCATTGTGCAATTTTTAGGGAACTGTAGTGTTGGACATAAAAAGAATCAATGTTTAATTTGGAAAATGTTTGTGGAAGAACTCAAGTAAGAATTACTATGGTATTTAAGTTATCAGCCAGAAAGGAATATTTAACATCAATTTCAAAATGTAATTTTTGTCAAATAGTGTTTTTTGGCTATCATAAACATCACCTTTTTTAAAAAAAAGGTATTGTAATTATTATTACCATTTAATGAATAATTTATGCCTACCGTATTAGTTATGAAGGGTTATTTAGCATTTGTAGCTACAGGGATCATCAAATCATCAGATATTAAAGCAGCATCACAATATCTTTTCACAAAAAGATTGATGCAAATCTCCAGAAAAGTTGTTCCCTAAGAGGGCAGTAAAATCTCCTACTCTTGAAAAAAATTAGTACAAAGAAATAACTACATTTTGTAAGTTGTTTATGATTAAAACCTGAATCCTTGATGCAATTAATTTCGAGGTCAGGTGTTTAACATGAAAGTCTCGTGATGAAACAAAAGAACAAGGGTTTATCCATACAACCAGCTTACATGTACAACAGACATGACAGATAGCAGATTAAGAGACAACAACAACTTTTCTTTTACTGACATACTAGTAGGTATATATCAGAGCATAAGCCACATATATTCTCCCAAAAGTATGATAATTTTTTTCAGTAAGCTGTTTGATTTATCAGACGAAAAGCTCAGCATATATACCTGCATGGTTGCACATACTTGTTTATCTGGTAACCTGGACAACCAAGATGTTTGGATTAGTCCAGATACAATACAGATGTTAACAAATGTGATCTGCTACACAACAGAGTGCGATTGTGAGTGGGGGTAGGTACTGTGCACTTACATTGTAAGGTGATTCAGTTACAAAATGTTTACATCACTCTGGCTGGTTTGGATTGAGTAAATCACTCTGACACAGGGTGTTTCCTGGTGATTAAAGGTTACAACACTGATTTACTACCTTGACGTTTGTCATTTACATGTAATACATACAAATCTAAACTCAGAGTAAATCACCCTGTGAAAAATCCCTAGCAGGGATTATGTTAAATAGAATTAATCACTTAGCATGCTTAGTGTGTACTGTAATATTTTTTTTCATGACCAGATACAGTTGAAATGATACAGAACTTCTAAACAATTTATTTTAAATATTCATATGGTTTGCACTGTTTGTAAATTTTTCTTATTCCATAAATGCTCTAAACTATTTTTTTTAATAAAGGTTTTAACAATTGTTAAAAAAGTCCTTTTGAAATTTTAAAGGCTTACAATCAGAATTGCTTAAAACTATTTCCAAAAAAATAATCAATACAAAATGTCATGATTTATAATTGTTAATTTTATGATCTTTTTATGTTCCAGGATATTTCTCATAGAGAGTATGTGCAAAGTTGACAGCAGTTTTTCCAAAGTATTTCCTTTATTAAAAGACACAGAAAAGTATGTAACTTTCTTTTTACCCATACATGAAAATATATACCTCTAGCAAGGTGCATAGTTGTGTCCCTTTACAGAAGAGACATCTTTGTATTGTGTTGCAACATCATGCAGTGACAAAAGTTTCCCTAAATATTCAGCATCAATAAATAAAAAAAAGGTACACGTTGCATAAACATTTGATTAATAGTATTTGTATACGTATACATAATAAAAGTTTTATTGTGAATTACAAATCTTTAATTTAGGACCAGCATCATGTGAGTTCAAGAACGTGTTAAAAATTGATATATATATATTCTTAAATATTCAAAGATATGGAAATTGTGTATTCCTGAATATGTACATCTTATGTTTTATCTACAATACCACTATCTTTTCATCTTTATGTATTTTCCTTGAAGAAGCATCTTTAGCATCAGCAATTACTCAAAACTGGCTTCATGTTACCCTGATGTTAGGGCTTGCCTGGCAATAATACAGTCACTGTATTTATTTTCATCACACTTTTCTCAGATACTATAGCTACTAAGAATGACTTCATATTTGGTCATGATCAGCAGCTTGATGAATATGTCAGATACCTAATTTCTGTTTGGAGATACTTTGAATTTTTCAATATATTGAATGAACTTAAAATTTTGTGTTATACTTTTCTGTGAAACTCTTGAACAGAATGACTTCATATTTGGTCAGCAGCTCAACAGTGATAAATTGTTATGTGTTTGCACTTTTCGAATCTGTCAGACACTTACTACCTGTTTTTGTTAACGATAATTTGAACTTTGAGTGTTTTTAAATGATTTAAAATAAAAAAAAAGATAATAGAAACTTAAGATTTGTTTTGATTGTTATATATAAGAATTTCTTTGAATTATTTATTGTTTATTGTTTGGAGTCGTCTTTCTTTATTCAGACAGTTTGAATAATATTTGGAACAACTGTTTTGGATTTCCAATCTAAATGTGAATACCACTACATATGGGATACACTAAAACATTCATTTAAAATAATTTCTTACTGATTATCACTATGGATGTCAATGAGGTCACTACAGTTGAATCTCTCTATTTATATTGAATAAATTGAATAAAATTTCAGGCTAAGAATGCTGAGTGTCAAAGTCATCTTTTACCACAAACTAAGTAGTAAATTCAAATTTTTGGTTTTGGAACGCTACTATTATATAAAGAGAAGGAGATGTGGTATGATTGAGAATTTCATTTAGACAATTATCCATCAAAAATGAAAGGACAAGCATGTTAACAAATTAAGATCACTGTACATCTTTCAGCAATGAACAAAACCCATACTGTATAGTAAGCTTTAACTAAACAATATATAATAAAACTTTTATGCCTTTAAAGGTTTCGAGAAACTACATTTATACAAAAATACATTATTGAGAATTAGACAACTGATCACTAAGTAGTCCAAATAATTATGACGTCTTGTAAGGCTATTATATTTTTTTTCTTTGACGCCTTACATCGACGTCATAACGCCGAACTCATATTTTCAGTTGGATTTTGAGAGGGAATTTACTGCTTTATTAAAACGTTTAGCTGATTTCTCCTTAAGATGCTTCATTTTAGGAGTATAAAATAAATTTTTGAACCAAACTCGGTAAAATTTGACGGACCTAAATTTCCGGATAATATAAAACTAAGGTTCCGGAAATTTGGGCCTGTCAAATTTTACCGAGTTTGGTGCAAAAATTTATTTTATACTCTCCTGAAAAGAAATCAGATAAACGTTTAAAAAAAAGCAGTAGACAATCGCCCGCTTCGAATGGAATTGTAACTTATTTTATTATTACAGTAGGGATTTATTGGAAATATTTTGCACAAACAAACACATAAAAGGTAAGAAATTTGATATATGCAAAAATGTTTAGCCTTCAATGGAAATTTTATGGCTAAATTGGGTCTCAAAGTTGAGAGCAAAATATGCTCTCAAAGTCCAACCGAAAATGGTGACTTCAGCATTATGACGTCGATGTAAGGCGTCAAAGAAAAAAAATATAATAGCCTTACAAGACGTCATAATTATTTGGACTAATCACTAAGTAGAACAGGCAACAATTTTTGCAAGTACAGGTAACTATATGGCCTTCAACAATGAACAAAAACCACACCATAATGGTGACCATATAGTAAGCTGAACATTAGTTAATAAACCACTGATGACATCGTAATATTTTTAGTAAAAGCATACTGAAAACAAATTTTGTGATAATTTTAGGTTTTTCTTTTAGAATTTTAAAACTTTTTATGCCTAATGTCCAATGCCAAAGTGTTACATGTATAATATAGTGGACCACTTTTTGATTATGTTTACTTGATTACTAGGTTGTTGGTGTATGAAGTTATGTTGGACCATCTAGATAAAAGTGAAAATGATCAACAGACCTCAAAAAGCAATCTACAGTATATTGCTGGAGATGTGAAATCTCAATCATATACAATCCTGTCTCTGTTAGAGAAACATCAAAATCAGGTATTAAAACAGTTCATTAAGGCTTCATGCATGCCAAAAGAATAAAAAAACATGTATCATATTTTGTAAATAGATGTTTTTGTGCAAGTTTATGGAGCATAATTATGCAAAAGTTTTCCAGACCTCCTATACCAGTGTGTATACAATCTGATTTCATCTCAATTTTTATACCGCAGCAAAATTTTTGCCGCCATATAACGGTGTGGCAATGTTGTCGTCTGAAGACTTTTGGTTTCCAGATAGTACCTTTAATATTAGTGTATGTATCTCTATGTAACTGTACCACAAGGTTCCATACCACAAAAGGAAGGTTGGGATTGATTTTGGGAGGTTATTGTCCTAACTGTTAAGAAATTAGGGGCCAAAAACAATTACTTGTGTATAGATGTATATATCTCTATGAAATTGTAACACAAAGTTCCATACCTCATAAGGAAGGTTGGGATTGATTATTGGGGTGATGGCCAAAACCGTTTAGAAATTAGGGGCCAAAAACAAGGGATTTTCTGGTTTCTGGACAATAACTTGAGTATAAGTCTATTTATCTCTTTGAAATTGTACCTCAAGGTTCCATACTATAAAAGGAAGGTTGGGATTGATTTTGAGGTTATGACCCTAACCGTTTAGGAGTGAGGGGCCAAAAAGGTGCCAAAAACAATACTTTTCAAATACTTTGTATAAATTGCTTATTTCTTTACCCATTTCAATGGTTTCACTGGTTCAAAGCCTTGAATTCTTAGGGTTCTTTGATATGTTGAATCTAACCGTGTATTTAAAATTGAAATTTTGGGCCCTGTTTTTAAATTGGTGCACTGTAACATGTTTAAGTTCCAAAGGGTCCAAAATTAAACTTTGTTTGATTTCATCAAAAAATGAATTATTGGGGTTCTTTGATATGCCTATTCTAACGAATGGTATGTATTTAGATTTTGAATTTTAGGCCCCGTTTTCAAATTGGGGCACATTAAGGTCCAAAGGGTCCAAAATTAAACTTTGTTTGATTAACAAAAATTGAATTCTTGGGGTTCTTTGATATGCTGAATTTAATAGTATATTTAGATTATTGATTTCAAATTAGTCTACATTATGGTCCGAAGGTTCAAAAATTAAACTTAGTTATATATCTACACAAAATTTATTCTTGGGGTTCTTTGATATGCTAAATCTAACCATGTATTAAGATTTTGGATATTGGACCATAATAGGTAAATTTCCAATTTCCAACTTTTTAGTTTCACATTCATTCTGTGTGAGAAACCTATGCTGTGTCAAATATTTAATCACAATCCAAACTCAGAGCTGTTTCAAGTGTGAATGTTGTGTCCATACTTGCCCCAACTGTTCAGGGTTCGACTTTTGCAGTCGTAACAAGCTGAGTCCTGAGGAGCATTTCATTTACCGTTATTAAATCCTCATGCAGTGATGAATAGCTTGAGTAAATAATTATATATCATTTTAGATTTAAGTTTAAGATGTATTTCATGAATGAAAAGAAAATAGAAGTAACTTTGCAAAATTTTCTTATTTTTTTAAATGGAAAAAGTAAGAGAAGCTTATTATAAGAAAACAAGATGGCAGACATGAACATACTAGAAAACTTATTTTAATCTGAAATTTTCATTTTGATCTGAACAGCTCTTAAAGGACTGAACAATGAATTATTAAGTAGTTTTCAGTCTTTCAGTCAATTTTCAGACTAATCCACTGCTGTAAAAATTGAATACTGTTCACACTTTTTGCTTGCAGTCAATCAGGATTTGTTCAGTCTATGTTCAGACTGTTCAGTAGTTAGTTATTAACCTGAACACATATTGGCCTTCGTGGACATATAAAGCTAGTTAATAATCAATCATCATAGGGGTAATCTAGAAAATGGTCATGCTTAATTAAAGGTATCTGTGATTTTCATAGTCCCTATTTTTTTTTCTCACACCCTTCTTGTTGGAGTTAAATTATGAAATTGATGTCAAGATTCACAACAGCAAAATCTTTTTGACAAGACTGAAAAATAGCATGGAACAGTTTCAAAATGGCAATGTCATGCCTATTGGAAATTTGATTGATATTGAAAAGTCATGTATATCAGTTGAGGACACTGACTATTCTGTAGTTATTTTGTTTCTTTCAAGTATGAACCCAAACTATTTAAATCTAATGACAACATTAAGCATACTAAAGTTATAAGCCTGTAATCCTTGATGACTTTTATACCCAACTCATTAGTCATGTGTAGAAAAAACTTGTGACTGGTATACTGAAACATGGTATAAATTCTAATGCCTTGTTACAGTCACTTGGTTGATACCACTGCTGGTGAACCATTTGTTCCTTAAGGTACCGCCAGTCTTTTAGTCAGTACTCCATACTGACATGAAATATCATTGATGTGGTCATTTTTTTTGTAAGTTTACTGTTCATAAAATATTATGATCCTAATCTTACCAGAAGGCAGAGGTTACCTCAGTCATACTTTCCAAAACGTTTTGGAAATTTTTGGTTTTTAATGCTCTCCTACTTTGTTTTAGACTTGGCCTTTAAACTGTCTTAATTTGAGTGTCACTAAGGAGTCTTTTGTAGACTAAATGCGTGCCTGGATTATTAAAATTAAAAACCTAGTCTCTGTGTTGACTTTTAAACTATTTTTAAAAATAAAATTTAACAACTAATGAGAGAGGGGAACATTTTGTTCAATCAGGCTGCAGTCTACTGACACAACTGAGCAGTTTCAGAACTATTCATCATGTTCCTCTTTTTGTGCAATAATAATGAAGAATTCATTGACATATATATTTTTACAGTATAGATAAGCAGGTGGACACAATCCATCAAAAATATCAAAACAATGTATTTTTTGAAAAGTAATTAAACATTCTCAAAATGGGATTGTAAAATTTTACATAATAAATTAAATACTATTAAAGTATGCATAAGTCAGTTTTATTAATGTCAAATATCTGTATGTGAGAACAGATGTATATGATATTTTATATCATTTTCAGGTGTAATGACATATCATATAGATTTATTAATTAAGAATTTCATTATTTTTTTACTTGATTTATGTGTATTGATTTAAATCAGTGACAAAAATAATTGTTAAGAATGTTATATTTATAACATGAAACATGCCATTGTGGGAAATGTTAAATCAGCATGTGAAATATGACATAGAGAAGTTTATTTGTAATTTTTATAGTTTATATGTTGAGAAAGGATGTTTTGCAGTTTTATAAGAAGTTAAAGTCAAACCCACACAGAAGTAGAAGTATGTTAGTAGACTAAAAAAAAAACCAGCATTTTTAGTTGATTTTATAATGAGTGATATAATAGCATATGGTTTTATAATTTTAAGGAGTACCACATAGCACCTGGCGATGCAGGAAGTTAGCTTATTTGTAGAGATATCATTTGAATGCACTTCTCATAAATGACAATGTATAAACTGTGCTCAGAATTAAAATGAACAAAAAGGATAATTAAAGAGTTCTTTTTTTTCATTCCTCTGTTGCTTACACTTGACAAATTTATTCATTGATGGCATTTAGACTAAATCGTGTTCCATGAACTATATCACTGTTTTTTTAAAGATTTGTTCAATCCAAATTTTTATACGACCGCAAAAAAATTTTTGTGGTCGTATATTGGTATGACGTTGGCGTCGTCGTCGTCGTCGTCGTCGTCGTCCGGCGTCGTCGTCGTCCGGCGTCGTCGTCCGAATACACATTAGTTTTCGCACTCTAACTTTAGTTTAAGTAAATGGATCTCAATGAAATTTTACCATAAGGTTCAATACCACAAAAGGAAGGTGGGGATTGATTTTGGGGGTTATGGTACTAACAGTTAAGGAATTAGGGGCCAAAAGGGGCCAAAAATAAGCATTTTTGTAACTTCCAGACATAACTTGTGTGTAAGTGTATGGATCTCTCTGACATTGTACCACAAGGTTCCATATCACAAAGGGAATGCTGGGATTGATTTTGGGGGTAATTGCCTCCAAATTTTAGGAATTGGGGGCCAAAAAGGGGCAAAAAACAAGCATTTTTATACGACCATGACAATATCTTGTTTGTAAGTGTATGGATCTTTATGAAATTGTACTACAAGGTTCCATATCACAAAAGGAATACTGGGATTGATTTTTGGGGTAATTTCCTCCAAATTTTAGGAATTAGGGGCCAAAAAGGGGCAAAAAACAAGCATTTTTCTAGTTTCATGACAATAACTTGTTTGTAAGTGTATGGATCTTTATGAAATTGTACTACAAGGTTTCATATCACAAAGGGAAGGCTGGGATTGATTTTGGGGGTTTTCCCTCAAAATTTTAGTAATTAGGGGCCATAAAATGGCAAAAAAAACATGCATTTTTCTAGTTTCAGGACAATAACTTGTGTGTAAGTGTATGGATCTTTATGAAATTGTACTGCAAGGTTCCATATCACAAAGGGAAAGCTGGAATTGAGTTTGGGGGTAATTGCCCTAAACGTTTAGGAATTTGGGGCCAAAAAGGGGCCAAAAAACAAGCATTTTTCTAGTTTCCAGACAATAACTTGTGTTCAAGTGTATGAATCTCTCTGAAATTGTACTGCAAGGTACCATACCACAAAGGGAAAGCTGGGATTGAGTTTGGGGGTGATGAATCATAAGGGGCTTCAAAAAATTGGGGGGGGATTTTTTTTTTCCTTTTTTTTCTTTAACATTTTTCATTTTAAATTGGTTATTTCTGATTTATATATAAAAGCAAATAATAATGATATGGTTTGAATAGGCATACATGTGAACCTCCCGACGGGAGTACAATAATCCCGTTTTCAGGGGTCTCCTCCCGACCTCCCGTTGAAGAGGAAAAAATCCCGTGTATGAAATTTTTCATGAATGAAAAATTTCTGCCCAACATATCATCTCAGGCATCTGGTGTAACTGACATTACCTGAAGTTATATTTTACCTGTAAATCAATTAACATGCATAATTATATGGCTTCACTTGTCAGCTTGGGTGTCAAACATACAGGTAATCAACGATTTTTACCTCAGGCTAACTGCCGTTGTGTAACAAAAACTGTGTATTTATTGGGTTACTTCCCTTGATTTATCCTGTTTTAAGTTACTTTCCTTTTAATAATGAAAATATTTAAAAGAATATAAATAAAATATAAATTGAACAAATAATCATAAAAGGATGGTTATTAAATGATTTTAAATGTCTTAGGACAAATAAAAAAATAATAATTTGAAAATTATTTGAGGATTCTAGACTTCCTTTCAAGGCTTAAATTGAAATTTATATAATAACTATGACCCTAACTTTACAGATAAAATGATTTTCTGAGTTTGCAAATAAAAACTATTTGCAAGAGAAAAAAAAAAAATAAAAACTATTTGCAGATAGCTAAACAAATGTTCTGGTTGCAATGATTGTTTTATAGAATATGAAGTAAAAAATTTAAAGAACATACTGGAAAAATACAATGTTAGATTGAACATGTAGAATATAAAGATGGAGAAACTTTATAAGTACAAGGGTACTATAAACATAATAAATTGGATGGAAAGTTGAAGAAAACACACTTTAAAAGACCATTTTTACAGCACACGGTTACATTTACAACAAAATTAATGTCGATTAAAAACCTCCTGATCTGAGTCCTAATCTCCTGACCAAAATTTCCCAATCTCCTGATCTGAGTTTCACAGTCCATCACATGTATGAATAGGTAAATTGAAAATTTTTAAGTTCTTAGACCACTTTCATTCTGTGTCAGAAACCTATGCTGTGTCAAATATTTAATTACAATCCAAATTCAGTGCTGTATCAAGCTTGAATGTTGTGTCCATACTTGCCCCAACTGTTCAGGGTTCGACCTCTGCGGTCGTATCAAGCTGCGCCCCAGCGGAGCATTTTATTCTAATATACAAATGAAATTTATCAACCTCAACTTGATCTCTCTACATTCAATTGTAAATGATCAATGTCCTTATTTAGACCTTGATATATTTATGGCTTCCATTCAGAATGATGTGTCAAGGGTAGAGTGACATGTCTTCCTATGGACTGTTACCTGATGATTTTTTTTTAGCATGTTAAAAATTTGACTATGCAGGTCTAACTTATAAAGAGCAAGAAATTTTCATTTTTCATTAAGATGTTCAAGTAGGATGTGATAATTGCCACTGGTAATTTAGTATTCATCAAACAATCAATTTATCCATCCCATGGTAATCATAAAGTTCCTCCTAAAATTTATGACAAACAGGACAATTCATTCTTTCCTATTGTTAATTATCCTGTCCTTGGTGTTTATTTTCTAATTCCTCTATACAGAGTGTGTATTTCATAGAAGGTCTGGTATTCATATGTTTGCTATGATGTTTCAGATTTCAAACAATGTAATATTTTCATTACTAAAATCAAGGATATAGATTATTTTTTACTAAATTTATCAGAACTACAGAGATTTATTATCGGTATATTTTTATATGACTGCCCAATTTTTGCGGCTGTATAATGGTACAGTGATGTAGTCGTCCTGGTAGTTGTCGATTTCTTAAGACATTTGGTTTCCTGATAATAACTTGAGTATAAGTGATTGGATCTCTATGAAGTTGTAACACAAGATTCCATGCCACAAAAGGAAGGTTGGGATTGATTTTTGGGTTATTTCCCAAACGGATTAAGAATTAGGGTCCAAAAAGCCAAAAAGAAGCAATATTCTTGTTTCAGGACAATAACTTTTGTAATAGTGTATGGATCGTTATGAAATTGTACCACAAGGTTCCATACTTTAAAAGTAAGGTTTGGATTGATATTTGGGGTTATGGCCCAAACCGTGTAGTAATTAGGGACCAAAAACAAGGATTTTCTGGTTTACAGACAATAACTTAAGTATAAGTCTATGGATCTCTATGAAATTGTACCACAAGGTCGATACCAAAAAGGAAGGTTGGGATTGATTTCGGGGGTTATGGCCCTAAATGTTTAGGAATTAAGGGCCAAACACAAAATACTTTTCTAATACTTTATGTAAATTACTTATTTCTTCACCAATTTCTATGGGTCAACACCAAAGACAACAGTGTTGTAAAGTGTTGTTGTCTTTCGTGTCAACATATTCTTATTTATTTTAAGACAACTCGTTTTTACCCTACCGTACAATCACCACCTCAGGTGTTGGTTCGCTTATAGAATTACAATTTCAATGGGGTTTAATTCAAAGTCTTGAATTCTTGAGGTTCTTCAATCTGCTGAATCTAACCGTGTACTTAGATTTTGGATTTTGGGCCCCATTTTTGAATTGGTCCACATTGAGGTCCAAAGGGTCCAAAATAAAACTTTGGTTGATTTCAACAAAATTTAAATCTTGGGGTTCTTTGATATGCTGAATCTTAATGTTTATTTAGATTTTGGATTTTGGGCCCAGGTTTCAAGTTGGTTCAAATCAGGGTACAAAATTTAGATCTGTTTAATTTCATCAAAAATTGCATATATGGGTTCTTTGATATGCTGAATCTAACCGTGTATTTAGATTTTAGATTTTGGCCCCATTCTTAAATTGGTCCACATTCAGGTCCAAAGGGTCCAAAATGAAACTTTGTTTGATTTCATCCAAAATAGAATTCTTGGGGTTCTTTTCATATGCTGAATCCGACCATGTATTTAGATTTTGGATATTGGATCATAATAGGCAAATGTCCATTATTAAAATTTTAAGTACATAGACCACATTCATTGTGTGTCAAATATTTAATCATAATCCAAATTCAGAGTTGTATCAAGCTTGAATGTTGTGTCCATACTTGCCCCAACTGTTCAGGGTTTTACCTCTGCGGTTGTATCAAGCTGGGACCTGCAGGTCATTTTATTCCTCTAGCAATTAAAAAAAAATCTGTTTGTGTATAATATTACTTGTAAAGCTTTCAAGTTGAAGAATTTTCTTAATGCTGTTACTAGATTTAAATGTCTAGCTAAACTTAAAAAAACCCTCCCATCTGAAATTGTCAGGCCAATTTGAAACAAATTAGTCAGAATTTTCATAGATATCTATGTTTTTAAGTGTTGGCAAAAAAAAAAGAAAAAAACATAAGGGTAAAATGCAAGTATTATTCTAACATCCTTCAAATTAATCAAATTGTAAAAAGTGGAGAAAATTTGACAGGTGTGAATGATTGAAAAGACATGATCTACCATCTGTACATTTCTATCAAAACTATCAGAAATATCCTATTTAGAGTTATTGCCTTTTAACTATAATTTTGTGTTTACCAACTTAAGGGCTTTTTATGCCCCCAGCATAGCCGAGGGGGCATTAAGTTTTAACCTTGTCCGTCTGTACTTCTGTCTGTCCGTCCGTCTGTCCGTCCATCCGTATGTCCAGAAATTGGTTTCCATTCTCTAACTTTAGTTTACCTCAACCAAATGTTATGAAACTTATACACAATGATTATTACAACAAAAAAGTTATGCCCCCTTTACAAATGGAAAAATTGCTGAATTTTTCGTTTGCGTTCTCTAACTTAAGTTTGCCTCAAATAAAAATGTTATGAATCTTCTACAAAATGCTTATTACCACAAAACACAGATAAAGTTTACAGTTCAGGTCTATCTATGATTACAGTTCAGGTGGCGAGAATTTTGGTGGCATCACTTTCACCATTCTAACTTTCTAGAATTATGCTCCCTTACAAATGGAAAAATTTCTGAATTTTTCATTTCCGCTCTGTAACTTAAGTTTGCCTCAATCAAATGAAACTTATACACAATGCTTATTTCCACAAACTCAGATCAAGTACGAATTTGAGTAGTGTCATTTTTACCCTTCTTGAGTTATGTCCCTTTATAACGTTATATGCAAGCGGGGGCATATCTGTGTCCCATGGACACAATCGCCATTTATTTCCTATTCTCTTGATAATCATAGATAGACCAGAACTGTAAACAGCAAAAATAAATAGCAATACAAGACCTACAACAAATGCCAACTTGACTGCAACCATCATGATTCCTTATAGGATTTTTTGCCCTTTTGGATTTTCAAATATTTTGACCTTGAGCATCACAGAAGAGACATTATTGTCGAAATACGCATCTGGAGCAGTTTATATTGGTACGGTAATGTTATTATTTGAACATTTTGAGTTTTTTTGCTTATAACATTAAATTTATTGTAGACAAATAATCTGTATTAAAACAGAGACACCTAATAATGATTAGCAAAACACGATTTACAAAAAAACATGAATAAGATGGGTTTTTTTTAAAACAAAATATTGATCCTGATTTTAATGTTGATAACAAATGTGTTGATCCTGCTACTAAAGAAAAAAAATAATTTATTGGTCTTGATTTCACTTGTATTTTTGAAAACCTGTAATTTAAAAATGAGTAATTTGTTGAGAATGAAAAAAATATTTTGATTGTGAAAAAGGAAAAAATTAAAACCAAATTGGCATATTTTTGCCAGATGAACTATTTGTGACTCAAAAGTTAAATGATGGCCCTGTTCCTTCAAAAAATTATTTTGAAAACCAGTTTTGCAATAGTTTGCAAAATGATCTTTGGAAAATTGAAAATGGAATAATATGAAAGTCAAGTGCACTTAAAATTCTACAGGTGTGAACACTTTTATTGGAACAATTATATATAAGTTATTGCAAAGTCCAGAAAAGCACTACAAACCCATGAGATTTATAAAGTGTTATTTTCATGTTCTCATAAAATTTGAAATTTCAGAATCCTGTTGTCATGGTGAAAGAAATAGAAATTCTTGGTATTGCAACATCATTTCACAATTTATATCCAGATATAAATACAGACAAAGACTTGCTTTCCTGTGTTATTTGTAAGCATCAGACATTAAGTAATATTCTATGAATTTGAATATGTTGCAACTTCATGATTTTATAGCTCTGTAGATCAAATGCATGTAGTTTACAATTGTACCAAGGATGTGAGATGTTGCAAATAGCAAACGACATTGTACACATTGCAATGATTAAAATTGTCACAGAGGGAAGAAAAATTTGGACATCTATTTGCATATAGTACCAATGCAAAGTATGAAATAGCTTAAGTTTTTTTAAGACACAGTACAGCTATATAATTTAATGTGTGCACACACACATATACACACTGATGTTCACACACATACACTGATGAGACAATTCTTTCAGAAATTACCAAATCATGATTATGAAATTGTGAACAAAAATGATGTGGTTCTACTCTTACATTTATAAGCTGCATATTGTCATACTGTTCAGATATCAGAATCTATTAATACAAAACCTTAAGTTTTTGAAGAATATAAAACAAGAATAGTGGGGCATCCTTACAGGTATTGTAACTTAGTGTTCCAGACATAATTTCAAGAGAAAACCTGTGCATGATAAGAATTATGTATGTCCAATTTTTTGTCAGAATTCCAACATAAGACATGGTGTTAATTACAACAGCTAGGCAACATTGGTAACTCAGAAACAGTCTAATTATTCACCTCATTTATTGCATATTGAGTATTTTTGTGACTTGACTTCCAACAGGAATTCAGTCAAATTGTAAACTTTGAAAACCCACCTCCAAAAAAGAGAATAAAGAGAATATTAAACATTAAAGACCTTAACATAGTAGCTTAAACAATAACAGAAAAAGTTAAAACATTGAGTTGTATGTATTTTAGATTTGCTTGAAGGTATCCATAAGATAGGGCTACAAGGAGATAATTTATTCACCAGAGTGGATAAAATAATTAAAATGGGTAATATTGATCAAGATCATGCAGGATACTGTTTAAAGAGAGATTTGGTCAAGCTGATAGGGAACATGGCTTACGAGTGTAAACCTAACCAAGATCTTGTAAGTATACATATGTAAAAAAAAAAAGATTTTTTCAGCCTTTCATTAGTGTGAATTACCCATGTGAATGATGCAAATTTAGTGGGAGATGTTTACCCTCCTTTTGGCCTTGATGCGATTCCCTCAGTTTTTGTTTTCTTACCTTGATTTGTATCTTTTCAATGCATTTATGAGTTTTTAACAACCTTAAACTATTGTTGCCTTTAATTTAGTGGTGTATTAATAGATTAACGAGTAAACTAAATAAGGCATATGTCTGACAAATGTTTTGAATAAATCATCAGAATAATGGTTATCACCTTTGAATTTAGATACCTTTATTTGTATTTTCCTTCGTTAGCATAGAAAATGATCTACTTTTAAATAAATTATATATCTTTGAAACATTTTGTTTTATTTATTTGTTATGTTTGGGTCCTCAATGCTCTTTCAACTTTATACTTGTTTAGCTTTCTAACGATTTTAATCTGAGCGTCACTGATGAGTCTTATGTAGACGAAACGCGCGTCTGGCGTATAAAATTATAAGCCTGGTACCTTTGATAACTATTAATATACAATGAACAAAAATGGTGAAGTAGAAAAACAATCCATTAATATTAATTTCTCCTAAATTAATGAATGTAATTTACTTAAAGTAATAATTATATAGAAATGAAGAGATGTTAGTCTTAACTTGGGCATAGTCTTTTGAATACAGATATGTTTAGAAACAGCGTTAGTCTTTTGGAAAAAACCTCAGTTCAAATGATATTTGAGAAAAGAAAGGCCTTTTCAGTTTCAAAAGAGCAAATTACAAATTACAGAGCTTCCATTTTCCCTCCCAATGTAGTTTATAAAACCTGCTAAATAACTCAAAAGTGAAAAAAGATTAATAGTTATACAATATTAATCCACAAGTTGAGACAAATACATTTAAATCTTGACTCTTCTTAACAGATTGAGTTCTTATAGTACAGCAACATAAAAACAATTGGTTGTGATCGGTATTCATAACTTTTAGAAAAAATAAGGGTATTTGCAAAATATATAATCCTTGCATAATTTCCCAGTAGGACAAGAATTCTTACAATTGTTCTACTGTTTGAAAGTTAATTGTGACAATTATTTAAAAATTTTGTAGTTAATAAATGAGATTTAGCTAAAGAGTGGCTGATTAGCTGTTATAAACGATGATCTAACAGTTTTCAAATGAATTGCATCAACTTTGGTGTGTTCCATGAAAATTGCTTAAAGACCAAACAGCCTATTGTTGATGCGCATCAACTAACGCAACTTGGTAGTGACATAAAAGCTCTATGACGTTGTTTCTAGCCATGAAAAAAACGTCTAATTATAACGTCCTATTTCGCGTTTTTCACGGATTCCAACATGGTGTACGCTTAAAATTACGTCTTCCAAGAAAAGTGGAATTAAGCGTCGCACTGATACCTAGTGGAAATTAAACACAAATGGACACAAAAGATACTACACTATCTGTAACCTCCGTTCTAATAAAAATAATAATAAAAATATAAATTTTGAACTCGGCTTTTTGCATTTGCGCCGATCTGCATTTCACTTTTTTTCTTTCACTTGCGCCGATTTTGTCTTTCATTTGCGCCAATTGTGTACAGGTAAATTTTAGGTGAAAGTTATTTTTTTTATTTATCATATAAACCTCTTCCGTTAACCAGTTTTACATATGTTATGAATTGTCAATTATAACATGTATATAACTGTTGTCCCCTGCTCACAAAGGGGAGGTGGGAGTAGAATTTCGAGCAGGATAAGTCAATTTAAAAGATATTTGTGCACTCTGTTTACATCCACTAAAATCACGGAGTAAAATTCTATTTACAGCATTTCAAAGCACCACAATAAAATCCACAAAAATGTAATACTAGTACAATGAATTACTAGTATTATCTTGCCGAGAATTTATATGCCACACATCTGATATATTCCTTTCTTGTCATTTTATCTTTTCTATACTTGTTGTACTTGCCAATAACGAAGTCCATCTTTTCTTTCTCGTGTCAAAAAGAAGTTCTCGAACAATATGACCAAATTTTATCTTAAACATAGGGGAACACTATTTATATCCATATATTACCATGCAATATACATTCTAGGTTTACTACATGTACATGTATTTACTTGTATAGCAAATAAAGTATCGGGGCTAGTAATAAAAAATAAATAAAATAGGCGCTAATGAAAGAATCAAATCGGCGCAAATTAATTAAAATATAAAAGATCGAATTTTTTTTTTAAATCGGCGCAAATCTCGTACGCCCGTGTAACTTTACACTGGTAAATTTATATGACTTACGCTTAGAATTTTAACTTCATATGTGATTTTCAAAACTGAGTTTTCAGAAGGTTAGGCCGATAAACAATACTTACAGAAGTTTCGATAAACTGGCAACGTATGCATGTTGAGATTAACTTATTTCTTTAAGATTCTCGTGAAATAATGGTGATCTTGCAATGAAGTTAAATTTTATCTATACTGCTTAATTGACAAAATCTTATAGTAAAAATAAAAATGATAAAGGTTCATTGTCTTTTGTCATTTGTTTCATTTCAAATTGTCTCAAGGAGAAATGATAAAGATTTCGCCTGATCTCACAGAAGCTTAAGGCAAAAAATATAAGAAATTAATATACTCAGTGAATGTGAATTAACTTGAAAATTTACGGTTTTTAAAACTAAACTTGTTGTAAATTTAACTTATGACAAAAACAATTGTTTCAAGAATAAGATCCATCATAAAATTTATCACTTTCAAAAAGCTACAATGACCGGAAAGATTGAAAACCAATTTCAATTTTCAATGCCGGAAATCTATACATACAACCTTGTCTTTGTTTTAATTTCCAAAATGAGCTATTTAGATTCATAATATTTCATCCTGTTTTGAGAAATACTTTAAAGTTTTCAACGGGAAATTATTTCTTAGATTTTAAATCAATTTTTGAATTAAAAACTTATTTGTATTTTATATTTACTGTCTCGTTTATTCAAAACACGTGAGGTAGTAATAACGGGGATCGTATTTTATGATAGGTTAAATGGATGTAAAACGTTTTAGAATCAAAAACTTTAATTCATATATTATACCTATAATTTTAATTTTCTTATATTTTAAATATTCAGAAATAATGAATCCACAAACTAGATTGAATAATTTGTATACGCTCGTCTTAGTCGGGACACATAATGGTATAAAGAAGTTCGTCCGTGCTAATGTCTGTCCGTCTGTCAACAGTAGCGAAAGAGTGCGCTAGGGCGAAGTTCTGAAATTGACGCGACAAAAAACCCACACATCTAGTCTAATATAGTCAAATAGTCTGTAAGTTAGCCATTGTCATCTTTCATTTCTCTTTTTATTTTCAATGATTTTGCTAATGAGAGGGAGAGGACTTTCATTTCTAAAGCGTCGTAAAAGGTTATTTCGAACAATTTTTCATTCCGACGGATGGTGTTTCTGAAGGTTAATTTTGTGCGGCAACAACATCATGAGATCTTATACTGATACATACACGTGATCTCTTGTATTACCGGATAATAAAGTAGGTGAATATAGTTGTTATTCTTGATTCTTGAAAATTTAAATGTGGGTTTCAAACGTCCAATTTGAAGTTTTTTTCAAACAGTGCGCCAGCAAGGAAAACTTGTACTATGACGTCAGATTCAATGTTCAGAAGAAAGACAACTCTTTTCTTCAAAACGAACGAGAAAAAAACCTGAAAATTAATCATAACTTTTTTGAAAGGTCGGTGACATATACATTTTTTTGCTTTATTTTGAAGAGTACAAATGGCACTTTCCTTCTTGAATTTTTTATGATAAAATCACTGGTAGATATTTTTTAATATATGAAACGTTTTTCATTCTTGCGTTTTATTTTTGGCGGGAATGAAATAAATCATATTTTTTAAGATCAAAACAATAAGAGTCTTAAACTCTTGAACCTGTATTTGATAGACACAAATCTTCTGTTTAACATGAAACAAACATTATGCTTGTAGGTTTGCTATAATGGAATTTTTTGAGAGTTTAAATAACAAGCAAATATCATGTTAATATTCGGGAAAACACGAAACTGAGGTTGCTATAGTGACAAAACTAAGTCGGTGACCCCCAATTTTTTTTATCATATTTTGTTCCTCAAATCATGAAATACCTTCACACAAAATTTTAAGGAAAAATCACTGGTAGAACTGAATAGGCTGTTTGGTCTTTAAGTAACCATCATAAGAAAAGATCAGAAATAAAACAGCCACATTTGTTTCACTTCATTATGTTCTTTAGAACCAAAAATGCTCAAAAAGTATTGCCTTAAGTTTTTTTTATAATAAAAAACTAAATTTTCAAAGGTTGTCGAAATATATGCTATCAATCATTGCATATTCCTTAAACATTGTATGGGCTGCTGGTACTCTTGTGGAATTGCAATTCATTAGCAATGTCATCAAGCAAGTGGTAGAAAGTTAAAGTTTAACACTTCAAATTTGCTGCAAAAAATACATTTTGTTAATTAACATTCACCAAGTATGTTTATATTATAAACAAAACAAAAAAAGCTTTGAACATTCATCACGTATGCTAAGATTAGAAATAAAAAAAACCTGACAAAATCTGTTTTTCACAATTTACCAAAATAGCCAAATGACTCATGACCATTTTCTGAACACAAATTAATGTGTATTTACAGATGATATAATACTGTGGTTGTAAATCAAGGTTAATGTATCTTATCTCCTGCGTTTAATATGTATTATGGATTTAAGTTTACAAGGAACTTTGAGAGACAAGACGTTTAAAGCTTGAAGATGTTTAGATGACTAATGTAGAAAGATAGACAACTGAACAGATGATAATTTTGGAAATTAGCATTTACCAGCAAGGGACATAATAAGATATTGTTAAATCTAGAAAAGAACCTCAGACCCAAGAAATTAATAAAGTGTTATTTTCATTTAATGCAAATCAAATAGAAAGTAAGCATATCAA